ATATAACTTGGCCTATCTATGATTACCACTGCTCCAACTTTGTCGGCTTTCATATTATTTCGACAAATATCCAGAAACCCTATTGAGAACACAACATTGCTTTGGTAGGATTATATATATATACATATTTTATGCATACAACTAAGGAAAACTGCCAATTTTTGGCTGTATTAAGTTATGAATTCTTATGAGTTTGCAGAATTAATTGATTAACAAATAAATTTAGATCAAGAAAGGTTAATACGTTCTGATGTTGTCTCTATCTATACATATATTCCCGCCCTATCACAACTTCTGACTTGTTTATATTCGACTCAAGAGGTGTGCTTATCTTAGTGAGTGTAGTGTGGCGTCATAACACCTGCAGTTTACCAGGCATCTCTTTAACTCATATTTTTGATCTCCTATTGAGATCTCCTTCATGGACCCGTACATGTGTTTTTTTCTGGTTGACCGTTTTCACTCGGTTATAGTCTCAGTGTACTTTTTACAATATGCGCTATTTCTAAAGCTTTTAGAAGCACATTCACCATCTCACCGAGCAGAGTACCTAGGCTTCGGTCTCCTCAATTAAGCCCGTTTAGACTTGGCAAACTTTGAATGTCTATCTCTGGTCGTCTACCGCATCTCGAATGGATTTCTGCTACATTTTTGCCATAAGTCCGAGTTTCCGTGGCGGTTGTCATTATCCGTCCCCCTGACTATTCGAATGTCAGGCCCCCAAAATTGTAGTTGTCTCCCAGAGACGATCCCACTTACTGAGACTCCTCGAACCTGGAGTAAAACGTACATTTGGACTGAAACCGAGTGAAATAGGTTAACAATTCGAAAGGGAGGGAGGAGTCAAGGCAAACTGCAAGTGTGATTACGTCACCCTAAACTCACCAAAAAGGGCATATCTCTTAAGCAGTCGAATATAGACAAGTCAGGGAGAGTGATAACATGATTAGGAGTATATAGATGAGCAAGGACAGAAAGAGGAGTGATAGCACAGCTGTTTCGGTCAAAGTTGGTCATTGGATTGACTTCACTTGCCTCTGACGAGTTGTAGCTTGGTGTTTAGTGGCAAAATTATATTTATCTTGAAAATAGGTAACGTCGTTAGCTGCAATGACAAACACGCTAACTTAATTGACAGTCAAATTATAAAATTTGAGTTAGGAGAGTTCTGACGTGCCCTTAATCTCGCATTCTGTCCTATGATTCATCGAAACCCGTGGCTATGAAGTTAAGTGGTAAAAGTCGCCCTAATACGATCAGGAATTGAACGATGTTGGAAGTGCTGATGAGGCCTAAGCCAAGTCGGAACAGCAGTTCACTCTGAATTATGCAACCCTTTGTGAGGCAAGGCTAAGTGAAATTTTATGGTCTCATAAGGCCTACTCATCTCATTATGGGAAACATTCAACTTTCAATTTTTTAATCACCTTAAGCGACCTATTGTGACAGTTCTTATTCCTTGCAATAGACCCATTAACTTTCTTACCAGATTTTAATGCATGCAGTTTATCACGAGAACTTCAGTCTTCTATGTAGTACAAGAAAGTCCTCTGATCAGCATCACTCACATTATATTGAGTCACATTCTCATAAATGCCATAAATAAGTTCTAGGGCATTAAATCATTTCATCTACCTGAGCTAGGCTCCAATCATTTATACTTTCTAATGATCCTCATGTTATTACATTGCATTATATCACCGATTTTCTCTATTTATCAGCCCTTGGGTGAAATTGTTGATTGTCGTTGTCCTGTTACAGGGGCCACTGTTATCGGCCTCCCGCCACCACTAGTCGTGGCGATGCGCATTGCCAAATCAGACGTCGCCGTGGGTGTCTCTACTGCTAAACTCGTGGAAGTCAGTGGCCATCTAAAGTGTAGCCCGGAAGCTATGCGGGAGGCTGTCTCCTCCGAGCCACTACAACC